AGTACCAGCACCATCACCACCATCACAATGCAAAAAGCAACATCTCTCTTAACCTCAGCTTATTCTGTTTCTCAGTCTACTCTGTGAGAGAGCAGGAATGAGACCAGACTAGCAACATCATTTCCAAGCTCAAGGACTGGGCTCAATGCAGTCACTCCTTCAGAGGGACCCCCATCCCAAGGATGCCCCACTTTAAAACAGGATGTTTACCGAAGGGGGCATCCTTTACAGTAGCTAGAAAATGACTGAGGCCCAAGCCAGGGTTGATCAAGGATGTGCCATTAAGGTAAAGAGCTACAGAGCAGGGCAGAGGGACTTTGGAGGCACAAGTGGATGATTTTCCTGGCCTCTTTCAGGGGGTCTGGATACAACTGAAGGAGCTTTAGCTACATGAGGCCCTCAGAGCCAAAGACAGGATGCAAATGGAGTTCCAGAGAGTGGCCATGGAAGCAGTACTCCGGGTGGGGAATGTTCAATCTCTGCCTCTCTTATTGTTCACTTGGTCACAATTTTCCCACCTTTGTTTCTGAATGAGTAACGGCCAGGAAGGCAGATGTGGAAGCTCCTGCACCTCCAGCTGCCCCACAGAAAGGCCTGCAAGAGTACTTCCAGGCACAGGCCGTCTCCCACCCTATTCCATTTGTAAGAAGGGAGGTCAAGGAAAAGGACATCTCCAAAAGGGAGCATAAGAGTAGCCATATGTGCAAGGGCACGACTGAAAAAGTGCTCATGGGTCTATCTTTTCTGGAAAGCAAAGACCAGCCTGAAGCAGTGGGAGCTGCTGCCCAAGCAGTAGTGAACTGGAGAGAAACAGGCCCTGGATTTTCAATGAGGATGTGGATCTGAAAGAAGAGTCGCCCCAAATGCCTCTGAAGTCTGACATCTCTGCTTAGCCCTAGGAGTCTGGTTCCCTGCCTTCAGTTGCAGAGTAATGTGTTTGTGTCATTGTTGATGTCACCTCCTAAAAAGACCTTCACTTTCTGGCTGCCACAAAGCCATATGTGTTGCTCCCCATATACAGCCTGACAGAGTAAATGGAGAGGGAGTGCTGGATTTGTGTATCACTGGCTGTCAGTTCCTCATGTTGTTAAGCCTCACACAGGTGTGCTAGCATTGAACTGTAGAGTGTCACATACCTGAGTTTGAAAATAAAAGCACATTTCCAAACCTCTGGCAGCAGCCAAATGCCTCCTCATTTTATGGAGCTGAGTTACAGTCTTACCCCAACCAAGAATTAGATGCCTTTGGATATATTAGTGCATCCCAGAACCAAGTCAGAGGTCCCCAACCCTTGGTCGTTGTACTATGGGCTACCTCACAGGGGCTGGATCAGTTCCTACTCCTCTTCCCTTCCCCATTCCTGATCCCAGTTTCCTGTATCTTCCTGGTCTATGATTTTTTTAATTAACACATTTTGCTGTGATTGAGTTTGCTGAGTTTTTAACCAACCTGATTTCCACAGCTGAACTGTTTTTTGGTCTTTCTTACAGTTAGCTGCAGGGGAATGTGGACTTTCCAAATCTAGTTCCCTAAAAATAAACTCTCCCGCCCAATACTTCACACCTTTTTTTACTCCCTTCTTTGCCTACCAAAGCCAGAGGATTCAGATGAGAACACTGAGACCCAAGAACATGGCAGAACCACTAGATGGAAGCTGGATCTTTGAATGAGCACTCCCAATTTTGAACTGTGACATGAATAAGAGATAAGATTTTTATGTATTAAGCCACAGAGATTCCAGAATGTTTATAATAGTTAGCCTACCCTACTAATGCATACATTTGAACCAGAAATTGGGTACTTTAATAGCAAAATTCCAAAATATGAGGTTCTAGCTTACCAGCTACGTGGCAAGAAACAAGAAAACTGCTAGAAAGATGGTAAGATGGTAAAGTCTTACCTGTGATTACTTGGAAAGCATCTCATGGTTAGCCTATTGCTTTATAAGTGATGGAAAGGATCAGTGTTGGAGTATAGAAACTCGGCTGCCTTTAGCAAGGTATTATAGGAGAAATAATTGGCTATGTGGGAGCAGAAATGAAAAAGAATATAGAGCATTCAGAAATGTGAAAGATTGAAGGGTAAGAAAATCTGACAACTTCTAAATCCCAGACAGACTAAAAAGAGCTTTGAGTGGGAGCCAATAAAATGTCTCAGTCGAACAGATCAACTCAGCCTTATGGCAAAGGCTAGATTAAGGATGTGGCCCTTTGTGAGTTCAAATGAACTTAGTGTATTCACCACTAAACTTGAGGGGTATGGTGCTGAGAAACAAGAAATACTTCTGGGAATTATGACTGGGAAAGGATTTGGGGTATGATTATTGGCACATGGAAGCAGAAATCTAACTTTGTGAGGAAATTGACAAAGAAACACAAGTCAGGACTAAAATCCTCTTTGATTGTTCAAGTGAGGAAACAGCTTTTGGGAGGAAAGAAAATATACCAAAGAGATACCTGCACCCTTATGTTTATTGCAGCACTATTCACAATCGCCAAGATGTGGTATTAACATGTGTCCAGCAACAGATGAGTAGATAAAGAACACATGGTGTACATACACAACGGAATAGTATTCAGCCGTAAAAAATAAAATCCTGACATTCACAGCAACAGAGATGGAAATGGAGGCCATTATGTGAAGTAAAGCCATGAACAGAAAGTTAACACCACATGTTCTAATTCATGGAAGCTAAAAAAAAAGACCTCATGGAAGTAAAAAACAGAATGGAGGATACTAGTGGCTGGAAAGGGAAGAGAAAAGGAAAAGACAGATTTGCTAAAGGACATAAAATTAGGAGGAACAAGTTGTAGTGTTTTATGACACAATAGGGTGACTGTAGATAATGATAACATTTTCAAATAGCTGGAAGAGAAGATATTGCACACCCCGAACACAAAGGATAAATGTTTGAGATGATGAATATGCTAATTAGCCTGATCTGATCACTACATCTTGTTTGTATGGAAACATCAAAATGTACATGTGTGTAATTATGTATTGATTAAAAATAAAATTTTAACAAAAATTAAGAAGACTTTTGGGATCTTAGCTTACGCCAGCAGGAAGCAGACTGCAAAGGTTGTGCTATTCCCAAGGAGGGCATACTCCCTAATATCCACTTCAAATGTGGACAAGGAAGATTATATACAAATTAATCTCCCAGAGGGATGCAAAGGGCTGAGGAAAACAGTGGATGTGGGAGTTTCTCTCAGAAAGCAGATCAGAATCAAAACAAGGTTAAGTGACTGTGGAAGGCGGAATTTCTAGAATAGCCCTCCAAAAATGTCCCACCCCAATCCCTGGAGCCCTCGAATAGGAGCTGTCACTCTTGTTGTGTTACATTAGATGGTACAGTTGACCTTCAAATAGGGAGGTTATCCAGGTGGGCCGATGAGTCCTTAAAAGCAGAGAGCTCTGCTTGAGCCCAGGAGGTAGATGCTGCAGTGAGCCACGATGGCGCCACTGCACTCCAGCCAACAGAGCAAGACCCTGTCTCTTAAAAGAGCAGAGAGCTTTCTCTGGCTAACTGTAGAAGTGAAAGAGAGACTAGAAGTATGAGAAGGACTCAGTGCATCATTGGTGCTTTGAAAATGGAAGGGCTGTGGGAGAAGAGAATGGTCCCCGGCTGACACCCTGCAAGGAAACAGGGACCTCATTCCCACAACCTCAAAGAAATGAATTCTGCCAACAACCTGAATGCGCTTGGAAGTGGATTCTTCCCCAGAGCCTCTGAGTAAGAGCCCAGCCCAGCCAGCACCTTAATGTCAGTTTCTTGAGACCCAAAGCAGAGGACCCAATTGAACCCACTCAGACCTCTGATATATAGAAGCTGTGAAATGACAAATGAGTACTGTTTAAGCCACTAAGTCTATCGTAATTTGTTGGACAGCAATAGAAAGCTGGCACAGCGGCCTTTCTCAGGCCTCTTCGTTGGTATTCCAGAAATTCTATGGCTGGTGATCGCTGTGGCTCTCATTCTCCTCCTTGACACAAAGCCTTGCCTTCCATGATTCATTCTTCCCCTTCCTGTCTTCCTTCGTTCTTATTGTAATAAGTGAACAAATGCTAGAAAGCTAGCTCTCTTTCGGGCATGGTGTTAGGTTTTAAGAATAATCACGAAGAGGCCAGAACTCTGACTGTCTGCCTCCCTGGTACTGTGATGATAGACTCATGCATGTCTCTGGGAAACTGGAGCTTGTGCTCACCCAGGTCATGAGGTCTGTATTGGAGATGTGTAAGGGCTGTTTCCCTGGTCTCTTAGAAGTTCCCTGCATTTGTTTAGAGCAGATTCTTTTTTTTTTAATTGATATTTTTCACAAAAAATATCTAACTTTATGACCAGTACCACTTATATAAAAAAGAATTCATTATCCATATACTTTTCCTATAAAAAACATTCATTTTGGAAAAATCTCATAAACCTTTGCCCAAGACATTGCTTACAAGCCGGAACTCCATAATTACCATGAAGCACAAACCACTGAAAATCCAGCTAGAAGAACATAGAGTACACTCTGCTAGTACACAGCACAGATAAACCTCGTGTTCATCGAACAAGAAAGGTGGAGTCTCACTTGAATTCTGGCCTACCAGAATATTAAAGGAGTTATTAAGAGAAAGTTATTTTATAAAGCACCCCTGCGGTGATTACTATTGTAAAGTTAAAAATCCCTGGGGAAAGTGTAAAACGTTTAATTTTGTAAATTGCCCTCCTAGTTGTGTTATGTAAATGTGAATGTTTATATGTGCCTGGTTTCTTTGAAAAAGGAATCACCTGTAGTGGTGTAGAGATTTCAAATGTGTAAAAGGAGACTCAAAGGAAGGCAGAAGGTTCTAGACTCAGTATTTCAATGGACATTTACTTTCATGAGCTTCAGCATCATACCCTGCAGATCACAAGGCTGAACAGCTGGGTGGAAAAATCACTAATTGTGGGAGGAAAAGAGGCACGACCTATGCTCAGTCTCCTTTAGGGACAGAGATGTTTCTAGGAGTACATAAATGATGGACTCCACAGGCAGTAACAGTGAATGGTGTGAGAACTGAGCTGCTGGGGGAGGAGGAACGGCAGGGAATATGGGAATTGGGAGAACCTTTAGCAGTTCACACTGTGCTATCTGCCTTCCTCATTTGTGTGTTTTCTGAGTCAGCATTAGCTAAATTTTCCAGAAGACCATCCACAAAGTACAGCCTGGGCGTTCAAGGGACGTCACTCATTTCCCCCAGTGACCTTGACAAGTCAGAAGCTTGAAAGCAGGGAAATCCGGATGTCTCGGTTATGAAGTGGAGCAGTGAGTGTGAGCCTCAGCATAGTTCCCGAACTCTCCATCCAGACTAGTGATTGAGCATCTGCCTCTCATACCACCAGTGGCCATCTGAGGTGTTTCCCTGGCTCTGAAGGGGTAGGCACGATGGCCAGGTGCTTCAGCCTGGTGTTGCTTCTCATTTCCATCTGGACCACGAGGCTCCTGGTCCAAGGCTCTTTGCATGCAGAAGGTAGGTTTCTTACCAGATTTCCAAACTGAAGCAAGGCGAGATCTTGCGAACTGTCCTAAGCCTCCTAAGCTGTTGACTATGGATTTCTGGGAATGAGGGTGACCCTCAATGTCAACAGCAGGTCTAATTGGTGGTATTGCTCTGGCAAAAATATTTTACCATATTGTCAGCTTCACCAAAATGATTGACATTTACCTTTGTATCATCTTGACTTTTACTTTTGGTTATGGAATATTTTTAATGAGGACATTTTGAAATAAAACATTGAAGAGAAACCATTTGATTTTTACTCTTTTTTGTATGGGTGGTGCTTAAATTTTTTGTAGCAATGGGATCTCGCTTTGTTGCCCAGGCTGGTCTTGAACTCCTGACTTCAAGTGATCTTACTGCCTCAGCCTACCAAAGTACTAGGATTACAGGCATAAGCCACTGCATCCAGAAGTAATACTTTTTTTTAAGATTATTTATAAAAATTAAAAGTAATAATTTTTATTAAGATTTCATTGAAGAAGCAAACCATGATTGTAAAAAATGTAAAGCAATCACTAAGCTTGGGAATAATGGGTAACTTTCACTAAAATTGGCCTATTTTTATGTTTTTGGGAGTGTTAGCATAATTATTTTAATTTTAATTTTATCATACCATGAATGAAGTGCAATGTTTTCAAAAAAACATTCAGTAAATAGCAAGTTAACAGGAAAAAAATCTGTAAAAATATAAGTTTGAAAATTAAGACATCGGCTGTCTACTAAAGGAATGACTTAAAGTGATTGCTGGGCTTTTGAGATGCCTAAATGGAAACCTCATTTTGCACTGTAGGCAAAAAATTGTAACCACAAATCACTCATTGCAGCTCTGGGCAAATGAAAATCTGAGCACTTTAATAGGAAAATGTGTGTTCCTATGCTGGAAGATGACCTGAGATATAAAATATGCTAGAAACAGACATCCAGAGTTGATTTATGTATTGTTGCATTACATTTTATAAGGGAGGTCAGAGTTATATGATTCGTTTTTTTTAAATACTGTTACTTTCAAATCAGTTTGGTCTTCTTTTAAATCCTCTGGGGAGACTATTTTTCCCCACAAAGCTGCCATTTTTGAAACTATTGGACACTGTTTTTTTGAAAATGACTCCATCACACTCTGGACTACGCTCAGCAAGGGAAAAAAAATTCTTAAGGAAATTACATTTCTGGCAACAACCAAAAGTCATCATAACCATATCAGAATAAAGTAGCTGATGAAGGTAAGTGAATGGGGGTGGGAACTATTTTTGAGGGCCAATTATATAGCGATCCAGAGCTAGGTGTGTATATACGATTTCATTTAATCCTCTCAAGAAGACAGTTTATAGGTGAAGTGACTTGCCCAATGTCATGCAGGCAGTACATAATAAATAATGGGTTTGAATTCAGCCCTATCTGATTCCTAAGCATATACTATTATCTGATTCCACATCCTTATATCTAATTCCTAAGCATACACTATTTCTACTATGTTTGCTGTTTCCTGAGAAATCTTAAGGGAGG